GAAAATTCCCCTCAATATTTTATGTCCCTTAAAGTAAGTGACAGTAAATGGTTTTTGTGCAAACATTTTCAGAAAACTCACACTTCAATGAACCAAATGAACATTGTTGCAGACTTAAAGCACTTTCATGACTAGAATGCCTTTTTGGTAGGTTAACGTTAAATATTCCATTTTAGTAAATGACAACTTTAATTATGCAGGAATAATCAAAATATACTTTTTCTTTTTATGTCTTTGAGTTAAATACGTCTATTGAAATAGTGTGGACAGAGCATGGAGCCTTAAAGACAGATGAACCTGGGCTTGAATCCCTGTTTGGCCACCTATACTTGGTAGATTCATAGGTGTTTTTTTTTTCTAGTCTGTTTTCTTGCACATAAAACAGTTGTAACATCTACCTCATAGTGCTAAGGATTAAGAGAGTTACACATATGTAGAAGGAAAAAAATACTGGTGACAGAATTCTCCAAGGAATGAAATGTCTTTTGATTAGAGACTAAACCACACAGAATGGTAAAGGCAGTTAGAAAAACGGTAAAGAATATAAAATTGCATAATAAAGTAAAAAAAAAAAAATCTTAACTTTTCACAAGCATTTGAGAGGGAAGGGGAGAAAAGAGAGGGGAGCCTGAGATAGAAAAATGTTGAGGAGAGAAAAGAGAGAATGGCATAGCAAGATGGAGGGAGGCTGTGACTCAAAAAGAACAAGAAGTTTCCTGTGGCCAAACAGGCTCTCAACAAGGATGCTGAGGTATATGAAATATGTTCGGTCTTTGTCCCCAAAGACAAAGGCTCTTAAAACCCTTGGACTATCCTAAATGTTAGAGTGTCTTTGTTACTCATAATGAGCCCCTTTGGAATATACCTGAATTTATGCTAATAAGGTGACTGAGAGTGAGGTCCCTAGATAGCCTCAACACGGGGCTGGTCACTGAAAAGACCAAGTGGTTAGGAGGTTGGAACTTGCTGGCCCACCCTCTTACCTTTGGAAAGGGGAATGGACTGGAGATTAAGCTCCATAAAAATTCTTGAACAAATTTGATGAGCTTCTGTGTTGACGAACACATCCAAGAGCAGGGCAGGTGGCAAGCCCAGGGAGGGCACGGAAACCCCAAGCCTCCCGACCCCCACAACTTGCCCTATGCATCTCTTCCATCTGGCTGTTCCTGAGTTATAACCTTTATAATAAACCAGTAAATGTAAGTAAAGAGTTTTCCCTGAGCTTTGTGAGCCAGCCTAGCAAATTAATGGAACCCATTGAGTGGATCGTGGAAACCCCAATTTATAGCGAGGCAGTCAGAAGTGTAGATGACATCCTCCTTGAGACTGGCATCCAAAGAAAGAGGGCAGTCTGTGGGACCTGAGCCCTTAACCTGTGGGATCTGACACGATCTCCAGGTAGGTAGCATCAGAACTGAATTGGACGCAGCTGGTATGGAATGGAGACTTGCTTGGTGAGTGGGGGTGGGGGGAACCCACATGTCTGGTCACAGAAGGGCTGTGTTGAGATTAGAGCAGGAGAGAAACAGAGTGTCTCTCCTTAGGTGCCCAACATTCTAATTTTTCGTACCCATCTTTTTTAAAAAACAGACTATTTTTTAGAGCAGTTTTAGGTTCACAGCAAAACTGAGTGGAAGATAGCTTTCCCACATACCTGCTGCTCTCACACATGCATAGCCTATAGGCATTATCAACACCCCCCAAAATAGTACATTTGTTACCACTGTTTCACCACCCTAAGAATCTACTCTCAACATTCTAAGTACCCCTCCCTCGAGCTCTGCCGCAATTAGCAAGCCCCTCCCCCTCGCAAAAAGGAGAAAGTTTACCAGATGAAACTCTTTTGGGTAAAGACACAACTGCCTTGAGTAAAGTCTGAACAAAAGTCTGCTAAATACGAGTGCCCTGAGTGAAGTGGTGTTTCGGGAGAATCAAAGGTGGGTTGTCTCCAGATTTGAACTTACGCAGGTGATGAAAAGAAAACAGCTGTAAGACATAAAACACACCAACAAGGTGGGGAATTCAGGAGAAACAGAGAAACCTGTGAGCGGTAGCTGGGAGAAAATTAAACCCTAGACGTATTGGGGAAGGGAAATAAGCAGTAGGATTTTTATTTACGTGTCACGGGACAGAGCGACCTGGAGGGCGAAGGGGAACGCCAGGCAGCTTAGGACATCTGCTTAAGGGCTGCCTCACTTCCACCTGGGTGGCAGTCTGTCAAAGTGGCGCTCTTCCATCAGATTCGAGTGTTTCACGCCCCTTCCAAATATCGGGCAAAAGAAGAAAACTTTTTAAAGTGAGATAAACCTACCGTGAAGCTGCACTGTACCCAAGACGGTCCCCCAGGACTGCCGGACACGGACTGGTTAACTGGGAGCTACGGGGGGGCAAGGAGGACCTTTGGGGAAAGCAGGTGCTCGCCAAAAGCCACTCCTGCCCTCCCGATGACTAGATGAAAGAATTTCTGTCGTGGCCGACAGTGCGAGGCTGCGATGCTGGGAAAAGCAACTGAGCAGTTTTGGCGGGGGAGTCGAATGGAAGGCTTGGAATGAACATCTCGTTCCCGCAGTCTGCTCCGCGCGACTCCCGTCTCCCAGTTTCTGAAACGCCAGCGACAGTGCATGGCACCGTCAAGCACGTTACTAGTTACTACGTTACTCTGGGTTGACGGAAAGGTCAGACACACGCGCTCGACTGACGACTCTCCCGTTTCTTTAAGTGTCATGATGCACGCACGCGCCCGAAAGGCAGGCGAGCTGACCGCGTTTCCTCAGCGAACAGGTGCTGCAGGACGAAGGTGCGGCCGCCCCCTTCTTGGAGAAGGTTCTGCGGGTACCTCCGCTGGAAACAGATACAGGGCGTCTTTGTTAAACCGCAGTTCCCTCGCTAAGCCCGAGCAGCAGCGGGCGCGAAGGGGCGCCAGGGAACTCACGACGGAGACGCCCATAGGTTCGCGCGTCTCCCAGGCGCTGTCGGTTTTGCAAACGGTCCGTGTCTACCGAGACCGTGACTGAAATCCCGGAGCCTCAGCACCGGGGAGCGGAGACCCGACCCCCCGCTTGGCCGCCGCGCCCCAACCACCCTCGGTTTGCTGGGCTGGGCGTCGCAGCGCGGGAGCCCCAGCTCCTTCCCCGAACCCGTCCCCACGCCGGGCGGGACGGCCCGCTCTCAGCCGCAGCCGCGTCCGCCGCGCCGACCGTACCTCATGATGCTCGCTCTGGCGCGTCCTGTCCGGGCGGGCGGGCGCGGCGCTCCCGGGAGAGGACGCCGGGAGGGGCGGCGGCGGCGGCGGTGGTGGTGGCAGCTGCTGTTTGTAAACACGCTCCACGTGCGCTCGCTCTGCCCCATTCGTAGCCCGCTCCCGGCACCCGTCGACGCGCGGCTTTCCGACCAGCCCTCAGAGGGTGCGATTTTTACTCCCTCTGGGGGAGAAGGAAGCTTCGCCCGCAGAGCCGGGCCAGGAGGTAAAAAAAAAAAAAAAAAGCCAAGACAAGGCGAGCTTATATTGCCCCCTGCCGGCCGGCGTGGCAGGCGGCGGCCCGAAGCCGCCGGGCTATTAGCGGAACCCACACGGCGTCCAAAGACGCCGCCGCGGCCAGGCCCCGCCCCCGCCCGCTCGCCCGCCGCAGGCCCCGCCCCCGGGCCGCGCGCGCCCGCCCGCGCAGGCCCCGCCTTCCAGCCCGGACAACGTTCCTGCGGGGGCGCGCGCGTGCTCTCTAATCCCCCGCCTTCCGGCTCCGGCGCCCGTCGCCGCTGCCGCCGCGCCACCAGTGTCAGCCTCCCTCGGGTGACTCCATTTGCTCTCGGTGCGGTCTGGCCGCCGTGCAAGCGGGCGGAGAGTGATGCCCCCGGCCGGCGGACTGGCGTTCCCCGCGCCGAGCGACCGCTTGCTCGCTCGCTGGCTGCGGTGGTGACACCCTGGTCGCCGGCGTTCTCGGCGGAATCCGGGCTCCCTCCGCGGGAGGAAAGACGTCCCGCGCTCTGGAGCTCGCCCAGCGGGGAGAGGCCCTCGCTAACACAGCTTCTCTCTGACCTCTTAATTTCGGGAGGTAGGCTATTCAGGTCCCTCTGTCACCCCAGATAATGCCTAGAAGCATTATTGTCGTATTTAGCTGTCTATCACATTAATAGGAGGCGATAATTTTCTCAACATAGTTGCAGGATAGATGTGGGTAATGCCACAGATCCTGATATTGAAAAAAAAAAATGTTTTTGGTATTTTCCTTTAGGTTTTGGAGGCTCCGAGTGTCTATACGGCCGCACAGGAACTACTTCTGTTGGCCCATCGAGGATCGTCTTTCACCAGGATTATTGTAACATCATCTTGACGGAGCCTTCCACCCCGTAGCCTCTACGTTGGGGCCTAATTTCCACCAATGAAGTTTTCTGATGCTTTCTTTAACAATGTGACATCACTTCTTGTCCACCTTCCTCTGCAGTTGCCAAATCCATTAGGTATATAAGTCGCCTTAAAGTTCACAGTTTTCTGCCTGTCCACTTTCACCTTGCTGGCACTGCTCACTTCTGTCCAGCTCATCTTGCCTTGCTTGCGTATGATTTCCATAAGCACTCATTTGCGTAACATGTAGCAGCCCTTGCCTAGAGAGACGGCATTCCGTACAATCCTTTGCTTGACAAAGAGCACATAGTCAGGAGGTGAGCTTTCCCATTTTATTTTCCTGTATGTCAAGTTTGCAAGTCCTCTCTTGACTTAAAACTATGTATTCCCTAGTACATTTCCCAAAATACTTCCCTGAGTCTTAGTGGCTTTATCAAAGAACCTTACCTTCAATGATGGCAAGAATTGAGCGTGCAATAGTACTGTTTTAGAGACCTTGCTAGTATAGCATTGATTTAAATTCTAACCTCCAGTGAGACTGCAATTCATGAAAAGACCTTAAACTAAGTAAGGAGGAAGAAAGATAGAAGATAAGGTTAATTGAAGATAGGGTTTATTGTAGGAACTTTGTAAGTTTTAAAACGGCAGGTGAAAGGATTCATGTCGACCTTGTCTAGAAATTGGCCATCACACTATCCACCTAGGTCCTAGGAGTGAGAGGAAAGAAGAATCTTAAGACCTCTTTTTCTCTTCCCTTTGTGTTCAAATCTAAGCTGTTAATTATCTTGTAATTGCCTAAAATATTATACACCTAAAATGTTGGGGAAACGTAAGCGTGTGGTGTTGACAATTAAGGAGAAGCTTGACATTATTAAGAAACTTGAGGAAGGCATCTCTTTCAAAAAACTTTCTGTGGTGTATGGAATTGGTGAATCCACTGTTCGTGATATTAAAAAGAACAAAGAAAGGATTATAAACTATGCAAACAGTTCAGATCCTACTAGTGGGGTATCCAAACGTAAATCTATGAAGTCATCAACCTATGAGGAACTTGATAGAGTGATGATAGAGTGGTTTAACCAACAGAAAACAAATGGGATTCCAGTGTCTGGAACGATTTGTGCAAAGCAAGCCAAGTTCTTTTTTGATGCTTTGGGGATGGAAGGCGATTTTAATGCATCATCTGGCTGGCTAACTCGATTTAAGCGGCGCCATGGTATTCCAAAGGCCGCTGGTAAAGGAACAAAATTAAAAGGAGATGAAACTGCTGCCAGTGAATTTTGTGGGAACTTTCAGGAATTTGTTGAGAGAGAGAATCTACAACCAGAACAAATTTATGGTGCTGATCAAACTGGATTATTCTGGAAATGTCTACCATCAAGGACGTTAGCTTTTGAAACTGAGCAAAGTACTTCTGGGTATAAGTCAAGCAGAGAGAGAATCATTATTATGTGCTGTGCAAATGCCACAGGTTTACACAAACTTAATCTTTGTGTTGTGGGGAAGGCAAAAAAACCCCGTGCATTCAAAGAAACCGACCTTTCAAACCTTCCTGTCACTTACTTCAGTCAAAAAAGTGCATGGATAGAACAATCTGTTTTTAGACAGTGGTTTGAAAAATACTTTGTGCCACAGGTACAGAAGCATTTGAAATCCAAGGGGCTTCTAGAAAAAGCAGTGCTGCTTTTAGATTTCCCACCAGCACATCCAAATGAAGAAATGCTGAGTTCAGATGATGGCAGAATAATTGTGAAATATTTGCCACCAAATGTCACAAGTCTAATTCAACCCATGAGCCAGGGAGTTCTAGCCACTGTAAAAAGATACTACCGAGCAGGACTTCTCCAGAAATACATGGATGAAGGAACAGACCCAAAAATGTTTTGGAAGAACTTGACAGTGTTGGATGCAATTTATGAAGTATCAAGAGCTTGGAACATGGTAAAATCCAGTACCATAACCAAAGCTTGGAAAAAACTTTTCCCTGGCATTGAAGAGAATTCAGGCATGAACATTGATGAAGGAGCCATTTTAGCAGCTAATTTAGCAACAGTTTTACAGAATACAGAAGAATGTGAACACGTTGACATTGAGAATATTGATCAGTGGTTTGACTCTCAAAGTAATGACTCAAGCTGTCAGGTGCTAACCGACAGTGAAAGTGCTGTGGAGCAGGCCAAGGCTGCTGAGCAAAAGCCTTCCAATAAGACTAGAAAAACAGAACTGAATCCAGAGAAGCATATTAGCCATAAAGCTGCGCTTGAATGGACTGAAAATTTACTGGATTATCTAGAACAACAAGATGACATGCTTTTGTCAGATAAACTGGTATTAAGGAGGCTTCGGACCATAATAAGAAGAAAACAGAAGATCCAAAATTACAAAAGTCATTGATAGGGCTCCTAAGTGTTTCAATGTATTTGCATCTTTGTGACTGTATCTGCAGTGAAACTTAACTGAAGTCCTATGGATTCCAAGGCCAAATACATTTTATAAATGATTTTAGGATTAGATGCCATTTTGGATTACTTAAATGACAGCTCTTTAATGTTGACTCTAGTCATTGAGCATTGACGTGTAATTAGTCTGTCTACTGTTTCTAATCTGTATTATACTAATTAGATCATAAGGTACCTGAAGTCAGGGATCTTGTGTCTGATTTGTGCCTGAATTTTAATATGTCTAATAAAGGGCCATGCGCACTATAGGCACTCAATAAATCTTACTTAAATTGAATTTTTGTTACTTTCTCTTAACTTCCATCAGTTTCCAAATTAAAATATGTTGGGGGTAAGTTTCTATTTCCACAACTTTTCCACTGCTGGAAATCTTAAAAGAGCTCAGCAAAGATTATGCTTGAAGTATTTCACTGTGACTGCAGAGAACTGAAGAGAAATAGTCTTCAGCCTTAAATATGGCATTTCTGTGCTGACAGTATTTGGGCAATCAGCAATTCAGATTGGTCATCTCTGAGTATAGCGAGGGAAGAAAAATAAGGTTAAAATGTCCCCAGAGAAAGTGTTTCCACTTCGCTTTGATTCATCTGACAATTGGATGAGTTCCTTCATAGTGTGGAAAGAGTGCCATTCCTTTTCCAGGAAAATATATTTCCGTTCCCAAACCCTTGCAGTTAGAAGAAGTGATGATTCAAGTTTATTATCTGTCATTTTGATTGTTTATTGATGTCAGCAGTTTTTCTCTTTAATAAGCTATGTGACATTTATGTAACTTACAAATTATGTCATTTGCTTTCATAGAGCATATCCTTCTGTGAAAACTAATAAGAATATTAGCATACACGTAATTTGTGGAACCAGCACATGAACAGTGAATTAACATTAAGTAGAACATGGAAGAGGCACTATAGAAGAGCCCAGCTGCTATGTGACCGTGGGCAAGTTACTTTACCCCCATCTGTAAACTAGGAATAATACCTGCCTCGGAGAGTTTTTGTGAGAATAAATAAGTTAGCATATGGATTTGAAATAGTATGGGCTTAGAACAGGGCCTACCTCAGAATAACACCGTTAGCTGCTGTTTCTGCATTGCAGAAATTACGCGTTTCAGAAGCACGCTGATCAGATCCAGTGTGTTACTCAACGTGATGTCGCTGCATTAGGAAAACCCTTCCAAGGGAAGTGAGATAAAAGAGATACGGGTAATTAGTTTCAGCTGAAAGAAAATAATGATTTATTTCAATGAAAACTGAAGGGTTAATCTAATTGAAAAGCATTTACTGACCATCCGCTGGTAGACACTGTGAGGTATGCAGGCATGTTTAAGACATCTTAGGTTGAATATAATAGGAAATGGGAATGGAATTGTAATTTCTTTGCTTCAGGCTTGTTAGCACATTGCTGATAATATAAATAGATGTTGGCTTTGTTCATAGAAGAAAATCTATATTACTAATATTGGCATAATTCACTGAAGTACTAAAATACCTTTAAAGTAGATGAGATAGCAGTAAGCAGGACACTTGGAATATTTTATCAAACTAAAGTAATACAGAAGCAGGAGAAAAATCAGAGCTAAAGAAATGTCACAGGAGACACTGGTTATAGTAATTAGGCCCAGCATCCATATAGAGCTTCATTGTCATTTGACTTGAGGAGACTTTATAGCCCCTATCTGACAATTTTCTTTCATGAGGCTATCATTAGCACTCAATTCTGCCTTTTGAGCTGAGGCTTTGGATCCTAGAATGGCTTTTCCAGAAGATTTCTAAGAATATGCTTTCTTTGGGAGAATTCATACACCATTATTAACACACCTTCCTGAGTTTACACAATTATTTCACCACCTAACTGATAGGCTTGAGGAAATGGAACTCTGCAGATAAGTCCTGAGGCCATTTGGCTTCCTGGGGACCTAGGGATTCTGAAACTTGATAGTGGTAATGACATTTGAATACAGCTTTGCATTTCCACAGTGCTGTTGCTAACAAAAACTTCTCAAAGGTCAATCATGTCACTGAAATGTTTTGATCTTCTGTTTTATCATAAATGCTAATATAAATTGTGCATTCTAATTCTATAATTCATTGAAATAAAATATTTTCCCCCTTCCAGATATTGTAATATATTAGATCCTCTAGGAAGATACATTGTGGTTATCTTGGTTAATCATATGCCCCTTAACATGTGCCCTAGTTTGAAAAGCTCAGACACATGGACTTTTATTTGACTTTGCACACCTTAAGGAAGATATCCACAAATTCTGATTACTGGTTACTATTTATAACAGTGGGTATTTTTTAGAGGAGAAACTAACAGAACTCAGACCAAATGGGGAAAGTGTTTGGTAACTAAGAGTATGCTTTTATTAAAAATTGCATAGTGGGAATATTTACTATTTCATAATTCAATATCGGATTAATAAAGATTGATTGGAAAACTTTGGGTGCAAAATAAATATAATAGATTTGGCAGGGCCCAGATCAGAATCCATAGTCAATTCAAGCAGAGTTATAGTAGTATAATAGCTATTTTTGTCTTCAGTCTTCAGACTCAACTGTGCAGTCACTTCAGGAATTTTCTGGGGTTAGGAAGGATCATGGTGGACTAAACGGCACAGCTGACATGAAGCAGGACACAGCTACTCACGTCACAGGCTCAGACACTTTTCCTCCTGTGCTATGGCCAAAGCCACACAACCAAAATGTTGGGAATCAAAGCGAGGACCTGTACTCCAAATTTAGTCCTATTCAGGAGACCTGTGTTCACTTATTACCTTAATATTTTGACAAAGTTGACCTTTTCTTAAATATATACGTTATCTATACCCTAAGCAATAATATCTGCAAAATCACAGGTCTTGGATGCCAACTGTGGTCTCAAGTTCAAATAAACATAAAACAGGATTTAAAAAAAAAAAAAGTGCCCAACTATAACCTGAAATCATCTTGCCTACCTCATCTGCACACTTTAGAAACACTAGCCAAGCAGGAGTAGGGTTGCTGAAGGTTAACAGATTGGAATGCAAACATGAGCTTCTTCACTCTTTCCCTAGATAACCTTGGTGTTAGGTTCTGAGCCCAGAGGGCAACACACAAGCCTTGGGTGTAGCAAAATGCTGTTTATTTTGAGCATCTGGGTGCAGATGGGTAGAGGCCAAAAGAGCGTCCACAGAGAAAAGGGGAGAGTGGTGGGTTTTATAGGAGGTTTGGATGGAAGTTTGGGGAGGATGAATTTTTTTTTTCTGAACACAAACTGGTTCCGCAACTGCCTGTGATCAGAGTTAGATTTACAACCTCGGACTCTCCAGACTCCTGCGGCTATTGTTTCACTGGCTTTATGATCACTAAGTTTTCCATTAACCACATTCCATCCTATACATACTTTCCGGGTTCCCACCCTAAGCAAACCTAACACATGGCAGCTTTCTGGACTTCTCTGAACTTCAGTTTTTTCACATGTGAAAGGGTGGGAGGTTAAACAGTCACAGTCCAGGCATTCAAAAACACCAGGTATTAAGCAATCCCGTGGCCGTTCATTGAGAACTCCTGGTCTCCAGGCTTGTCCTGGAGAATGAGTCATAGCCCTTCTGTCACAGTGACTCTGTGCAGACCCCCAGGAGACGTGAGCACCCCAGTTGGGGTCTGGGCACTCACCCATCTCTGGGAATGCTGGCTGGGGGGTGCGCATAGGCTGGTGGGCGTCGCTGAGTTCCCCAGCCCCTTACGACTACAGCTGTCAATATCCACAGGGGCCCAGCAGTCAAAACAAAACAGGTGGGGCCTGCTCTAGCCACAGTCTGAGATAACCGGGCTCAGAGAGAAACAGGTTTTTCCAAGCAGCTGAAGGCCGACTTAGGAGATGTGAGCTCATACACTGTAAACAGAAATGCAAACTGCCGATGCAAATGCAAAGGGGAAACTGGAGGAGCAGATTTGGACCAAGACACGAAGCAGCAGCAGTGCCAGCGCCAGCAGCATGGTCCACCATCCACCTCGTGAGTCTGGTTTGCCCAGCAACATCTGCTTTATACTTGTCATCCCAGGTAAGTATTGTTAGGTTTGTTCCAGGTGGGAATTCAGAAAGTACGTATGGGACAGAATGCGGTTAATAGAAAACTGAGGTTTGTGAAACAACAGCCGGAGGAGTCTGGAGAGTCCCAGGAGGTTGTAAACCTAACAGCCAGCTGCGGACGGCATTCCTATCCCCCACTGATAAGGACAGAACTACCCTTCTCCCTTAGCTCTACAAGATGAGACTGATGCAGGGGTCCCAGAAACTGGTTGTTAAAAACAAAAATTTTATTGCAGTGGCTGTTCTGGCCCAGTGAGTCACTCCCCCCTAAGAAACCCTCCATAAAACCCAAGGCTTTCCCCTCCCTCAGTGTGGACGCTTTTTTGCCTCCACCCAGATGCCCCAAATAAACAGCATTTTGCCACACCTGAGGCTTCGTGTGTCTCTTGGCTCCAGACCTAACAAGTATTACGAGTCCCCTTTCACTCTCAGGTGTCCCAGTTTAGAAGAGAAATTAGACAGTGTCCCTACGAATGAAGATATTAAAGGTCAGAGAAGGGATGTGATCTGCCCAAGGTCACACAGTCACCAGGTGCCAAGAAAGGAACAGAAGTTGCGTCTCTGAGCTCTGGGAAATGTGGCCTACTGACCCTTCAGGCCATGAGCCTCTGGGCCGGACTGCGATCCCAGTCCCGCTTGCTCCTGGGCTCGGCACACACCTGCCTTCCCACACAGGCGGGGAATCTCTTATTGGAAGTCTGTCTCTCTTGGAGGAGAAGGAGTACAGCCAGTTCATGTGCGGAGTCTGCTGTGTGCCAGGCAGATGTCAATGTCTATTTTGTGATCCTCAACAACAATCCTGTGAAGTATAACACCCTTTCAGAGGGAGCTCTAAAAAGCAACTGTCAGAGACCCAACCAAAAATTCTCATCTGAGACAACGACAGAGCTCTCAGTCCTTGCAAGAAGCTGTGGTCCTCTGTCCCCCATGGGCATCCGTGCTGCAGGAATCCACGAGGCACTGGGTCAAGGCCTTCCCTAAAACCACTGTTAGCATCCAGAAATGTGCTGGGTGTGTGTAATTCCACAGAATGCTTCCACCAGCGTTACTCCCCAGGCAGCCAAATATCTTTGCAGATCCATCAGACTCAGAAAATCCTTGAATGGAACTCCATGCAGCTGACAGGCACAGTCCTCATGAGGGGCATCTTTTAAATTTCCTCCTGATGACAAAATCAGGCCCGGAGGTGGAGGGTGGATCTAGCCATGTCTCCACAGGTCACCA